CCCGCCAGGTCAAGGTGGCTCCACCGTTCCAAGCCCGCCCGGCGCGCGCTGCCGCTGCTCGACATCTCCCGTCGCCGCCGCCGCCGCCGTGAAGAACTCGCCGTGGCTGAGTCCCGCGTACAGGCAGGGCCGACTCGGCATGCCTTGCACCAGGGCGACGCTGGCACATCATCAGTAAACTCTGTGATTGTGTTAACTTTATGGTAAAGACATGTCATGACATGGTGCCCTGTTCAATCTTTTTTAAAAAGATTGCGTTGAAATTCAGAAAACACCGCGTGGTCGGCGGATTCCGCAGCATGCGCGATGTTGCGGATGCCCAGCGCTCGCAGACGACGGTCGTCAGCAGACTGCTCGACTTCTCACGGGGTCGGAGCCCACCCGGCATCATGCAGAATTCGATCGAGTCAGAGTGGTATTGATTCCCCGAAATAGTTGAGTCGCAGTCCAAGCTGATGGGGTTGTGCTGGTCAAAACCATTATCGAGTTAACTTGATCATTCATGATTCATGAGATGCCACAGATTTTTAGGCTGTTAGGTATGCCACGGATTAAGATGGTCATTACTGATTGCACATCCAAATTACCCAGAATAATTAAACTCTCAATGTCATAAATGAAATAAAATAGATAAAACACTGAAATTACAAAGACTTATGCTTCCAGCAGGCTTGCTAGTTTTTTTAACGTCCTGATAACACGAACCAGCATGCCACTTTATACACAAGGTGCAAAAAGACAGAAACGTGAGGTCGGATGCAAATGTTTACGTCAACTTTAGCACCGTCAAATTAATCACGTTAGGTGATGAAAAGGATGGGATGGTGTTCACAAACCAGAATATATAATTTTCTTGTCACTTTCATACTTGTGTGCGCGGTCTGCAGGCGACAGATGATGATGTTAACTGCAACATGTAAAGCCGTCACTGAGGTAACTTCTGTAAGTTACGTGCAGCTAGTGCACGTGAAAATTGCACGGACTGCTCTTTTTCAAATGGAGTATTAGTCAAACAAGCCATAAAACAATTGTTTGTGATGATCAAATGCACTGGACTTTTGTAGCTGGCTACGTATTTGATATATATATATATATATATATATATATATATATATATATATATATATATATATGTGTGTGTGTGTGTTGTGTGTGTGTGTGTTTTGAGAACATAAATGCCAGATATTCACCTGTTCGCTGATAACACCGCCATTTTTTTGAAGCCCTTGGCACCAGATTATGGCATAATGTAACATCTTGATTTCCAAAGCGCTTATGCCTATAACTGTTACGCTTAGCCACTATCTTTTTCTATGCATTTCAGTGATCGCGTTCTGTGTAATTACTGTAACCTTGCCTGATGTAAGTGACACATGTTAAATGACTCAACATAGTAGTGACCAGTTGAAGATCAACATTAGCACTTTACCATCATCCTAAATTTTCCCCTAATGAATGCATCGAATGTCTTGAATGAATGTCCTTGCATTCCATCCAAGTGTTGTGAAGAAGATGTGTTTATTAAAATTGTGCGAAATTATTTTATTTTTACTGCATGATCCTACCGATCTTTTAATAGCATTTTTTAAACGCTTTTGCTCAAAGACATCATTATTTATTTATCAGGTACGTGCTCGTAAGTTCCTATACTATTCTGGCATGCTGACTAGTTCTGTGGCTGTACGCTGTGACATCTGTTTAAAATAATGAAAATCCATTGAATCAACTGGGGAGATTTCAATCATTTGCAATTGCAGCCAGAATTAAAAGCAACTATAAACAAACAGAAAACGAATTGGAGGGCGGGTCAAAAACAACATCGGGTTAAACTTTCAAAGATTGTTTGTAGGTTGGATTCGGTGTCAACAACTTTATTGTGCATCGGAGTAGGAGGCAGTCTTTTACCAGCTGAGAGAAGCGCAGGCTACTCCCCGGTGCCGCCAGGCGAACGCTGGGCAAATGAGTAGTTGAAGGGTACCCTCCGGCTGAGTGTAGCTCTCTTATGCAGCCATAACATCACCTGCCGTCTATTCCCGGAATCTATTTCCATGATCCTGAATTCATATGAGTCACTTAAATCTACTTAATACCTCTCCTCAAAGACGCTAGATTTCACGCTTTGAAATCTGCAGCTTATCTCACATTGACTGCCGACGTAGCAAAATGCAAGGAATTTCTGCAACTTGCCGATCTAAATCCTCTCTGAGGCTATCATTGACTACATTATGGTGTTCATTTTTAACAGAAATTTAACCCAGACGTTCCATAAGGACGGCTTTTTGATCGGAAACCCTTACCAGGCGCAACCGGGTGCAAAGAACCTCTCTCTCTCTCTCTCTCTCTCTCTCTCTCTCTCTCTCTCTCTCTCTCTCTCTCTCTCTCTCTCTCTCTCTTCTTTCCGTCTCTCTCTGGAAAATAGCTGCGAGTAGCCTAGTAGCAAGTTTGTAGCGTGAAAACTTTCAAACGGAGTACAGTAAGCAATACCTTGCTTGTAACCTGTTACTAACAAGCTCTCTCAAGTCTCAGCTCTAGGCTTGCTCATTCTGCCTGGCAACAATGACTCAGACCCATTAGCTATGTAGCATGCAATGTGGACTAGCCTGCACTAAACCTGACAGTTGATAATCTGCACCTGCCAAATGCCAGTCAGGGGCATTGGCATGGCATTGGCGTTGGCAATGGTTGCACGTCAGCAATCTTACTTCGTGCTCTAGTTCTTGCGACAGCGATTAGCTAGCATAAGTTACAAAGATATTATGAACTTATCTTACTTAAGTAAGAAACATCACGAATTACAAGCGCATTTCCAACAAACAAGCCCAATAAAAAATCCACTTCCCTTCGACTCGTGCGGCCAGCAGAGAACTACACTGAACTGAACTGCACTGAATAACTGAACTAGAGATAAGCTAAGTAGGCGCTGGCTGTCGTTTCCGCCAGGATATCTTAAACTCATCTCATCATGTCATTCTATGATAACTTAAGAATCAATGCAGGCCCCCGCGCTGCGTAGAGAGTGTACTGATGTACTCCACTTTACCGGCATTCCAAGACTACGAAATTTGGAGACGAAATTATCACTTGCAGGTTGCGTATTGTGTGGGCATGCAACACGCAATTTCAATTTGAGACGAGACAACCTTTCCACCACTGCTCTTTATTGTTATATTATATTCATATCGCATAGTAGTGGTGCATGAAGGGTCAGGTATGGGTTAGTTCATTGCTGTGACAATTGACAATGAAAAATATGACCAGCCCTTGGATGGTAAAGGTAGCAGAATTCTGTCACTGATTTCAGCATAGGATATAGGAATATAGGATATCTGTACCATGTAATATCCTCTGGTCCCAGGTTGAGACTTGGTAAACTCTAGTTCACGATCAGCAATGTTGTGTTTGCTGCTGAGAACTTGCAAAAGCAAACTTACTGCTTATTCCCCAAAACGCTTATAACTAATTATGCATGCTGCTCATTTTAACGCTCCGAAATAGTCTGTGATTTGTCTGAGGCGTGCTTTGTTTCCTAACGTTACCACTTTCATTTCACCCATATGAAACTGGCACAGCATTGGTAGAAATAATTGGCTTACGATTAAGATGATGATCATGAATAGGCTTTGATCAGGAATCAGGATTCGGCTCGAGCTAAACACAGGGCTACTCCTAACGCCCAATGTTGTTGTGCATTGGGCGTTGGGGGATTGCGCTTGCACGTGTGCGTTCTAGCCAAAATTCATCAGTCCGCTTTGGAGAAGCGCAAACCTGCCTGCATCATATCAAACGATGTCTGCTTTGAAGCATCATATGTTTCAGGCCTTAGAACAACACTCCTGGAAAACCACGTGCACTATGAGATCGCTAATATATTAACCACTGGAAGAGACACGTCGCATGTCCAAGGCCAATTCTGTCTTCAACATTCGAGAAACCGACGAGCATTGTTTCTATGATGGCTCCCTGGAGCGCGCACGTGATACCACTGCACTGCAACAGATGCATCGTCATGAACATAGCAAACTAGCCAATTGGTTAGCTGTCAAGTGACAAAGGGAGCACACGCCACGTGATCATCATCGTACGTGGATGCTGCTCGAATGCTCATCCACGCGGTAACGAAAACTATAAAGCATCATAATCACGACAACCCGGACACGACAAATGCCTGCGTCTAAAGAACCTGCAAGGTTTTGTAAAATCTATGCTTTAACTAAAGGGGCAAGGATACTATGTGATGTAGTACAGGTATTTGGGACGCATGCCGCCCCACGAATGCACGGGAATGAAAAAGGTCGCCACCTTTGACAGCGTCATGCCGTATTACATATCATTGAGGTTGATAATACAGTTGGCACATATGTTGGTCCTGGCACTCTAGGAGTACACACATTTCACATTATTTCACACACGTCACAATTGATGTTCTCATTTGGCATCGAAGCAATATACAACACAGTAACCCGGCGCACAGTAGGTACAATCCGTCTAGGTCTCGCCATGTCCTCACAAAACGATGGTGGCATGCACACTCGTTATTCGTGTAATGCAACTGAGCCTGCGAGTGATGTATTTTGACCGGCAACTCGAAGATAAATATGCGAATTAATGTGGTCAACGATGGATTACATAACTACAATGAGAGACACCGCAGGCAGACGGAAACGAATGCCGTGTACATTTTTAGTTCTGAAAAATGCGTCATTACTGGCCCTTTTCTGCGGGGCCAGAAAGCCTTCTGGGTCAGAGTCTCCCAGCGGTTGAGTCGTTTTCCGGACGAGGGCCACAATCTTTCACGTCCACCAGTCATTTGCCACAGGGACACAGGCGGTAGATCCCAAACAGCAAAGACAGACGTCATCGCTGGACGTGTCCTGTCCTGAGTCCAAAAGAGGAGCGACACGGCAGAGATGACTCGGCTGCTCACAGAAGCGGACGAGAGCTTGGACGAAGTCGCAAGTCTTTCGGCGGGAACGGGGCGCGCCGCCGCAGTGTGCTGCGGCTCAGAACAGACCGAGACCACGCTGCTTGAGTTGCTGGTGATTGTAGCCATTGGCGGGGAACTGGCCGCCGTAGTGAGAGGGCATGAGGAAGTCGCTGCTGGACGCCATGCTGTAAAACGGAAGAGCTGTGAGCACATTCGAAAAGGCAAAGCAGTAATCAGCACAAACTTCGGTGCCTTGGTATTAAGAATCTAGTTGTCAAGCAAACACGTTGCACTCTTTGCTCGCTCGTGCTATTTCAAATTGCTTATGATGTAGTTATCCGTAATTTTCATTTATGCCTCTTGTTGACCAAGTAGTTAAATCGTAGATGCGGGCATAAAGAGTCATGTGTTAAGACCAGATTAAGGAGTGTGGCATGGCTTCAGCGTGTCAAGGCGCCCGGCTTGTTTCAAAAGCACGTCATTTGTCAATACATTCGGACAAATTTGGGCTGGCTTCGGTTATTGACACAGCTGAGACCACATTGGAATGTGTTGATGCCAAGCTAGTGTACTGGAGTACGAAACAGGTGCAGATTTGTTAATTCAATCGAACCAGTGCTCAGAGTAACTAGTCAGCTAGAACAAATGTCCAACGCAGGAATGCACATTTCCGAAAAGGTAAATAATACATCTACGATCGATTCAGCTTGCTGAGGTTGCTAACGATAGGGGGTAAGTACCTGCAAATATTCTGGCACCAGATACCAATTTATTAATTACAATTTGATTCGAATACTGTTCGTCTTCACAAGACAAAGTCTACCAATTTTAAAACCCACATCTGGTCCAAATCAATCCATCAAACTACTCTGCTCATCCGATATATATGTAATCCCTTTGACTGGATCGGAAATCGTAAGATCCATCCGATCGGTCGGACCAGCTTCGTCTCCCGCAACACTCGCACCACAACGCTGAAGGCCTACGGCTCGAGGCGCTCAAACAGCGTCAGTTCGCGCCCGTCCCGCGCGGAGGCCTCACTTGTAGTTGTCGGCGCCGGTGAAGGAGTGGTTCCAGGCCGCGGGCGTGGAGCTGGCGGCGCCGGACGTCTGAGACGTGGCCGACTCCTTCCCGTGGAAGTTCCAGCCGGCCGACCCGGACATGGGCTGCAACGGACGGCCGCCGGTCAGGCCAGCGACCAACGGGAGCCGAGCGCAGGCCAACTAGCGCATCCCAGGCAGACGATGGCACGAGGTCAGGCGGAGAGACCAGAGGTCAGCCTGCGCTGCAGCGCTCGCCTCCGGGCAGAGCAGGCCTCGAGGCACCAATAAGGCCGCGGGCAGCATACTCGACCGATGACTTGGGAAGAAACGGGACAAGCGGGGGAGGTAAAGGGTATTTTGGATCAGGTACTGAAGTGATCAAGAATGCATGCAGCATGATTATGAAAGGGCAAAACGCGACAATTTGCGTTCTGAAGGTAACTACGCGTGTCGCCAAATTCGCCGAAAAAGAGAGCATAGGGTTTTGTTTGCACTAGCATCAAGCTCCAAGTGACTAATTTACAAGATGTTGGCGTCAAGCGGGAGCTTGTTTCTTCCTTTTGATAATTATTGCGAAAACTTTAGCAATCTTCGTTAAAAACCGGTTCCCCTCCCGTAACGTCATTCCTGCTTCCACCCAAAAATAAAAATGTATAAACTGTCTGTAACTTTAGTTCGGAAGGCCAACGCCTTTAACAATCACACAATTGTATGTAAGCCTGCATACTAGCCCAATGTGGAGGTCTAGGTGGCAATGTCCCGACACCCTCAGTGTGAGACTCCACGCGAGGTGCAGCGCCACACCAGCCCACTCCGTCGGCTGCTGTTCTCGCGAGCCGCCGCGCGTGCCACCCACCTGCGCCGTCTGCTGCGCGCCGCTGTAGCCGGCGGCCGTGGCGCCGGCCACGCCGGCCGAGCCGAGCAGACTGGCCATCTGCGTCTGCAGCGCCGCCTGCGTCTGCAGACTGTGCACGCCCGAGCCGTCCGGGAACGCCTGGAAGCCGGCGCACGACTGCTGCTGCAGCAGCGCCGGGCTGTAGCCGGCCGACCGACTCCAGGCGGACGGGTCTGCGGCGCGCGACAGGCGCACACTCAGTACCGGAGCGCCGACCGGCACGGCGCTCGGCCGCGGGCGCCAGGCGCGAGCGCGAGCAGCGCGACGGCGCTGAGCGACAGGACACTGGCACTCGCCGCGTGGAGCCGCTGACCGCCACCACACCGGCGACCACAGCACGGAGCTACACAGCGACAGACCATGGACAGAGGCGGCGCGGCGCTGGTCACCGACCGAACACGGACGGCAGCAGAGCATGCGGGCGTCAGCTGCACGGAGACGCTCATCATCAGAACAGCGCTATCGTCAGATCATCAGAGCAGCGCAATCATCAGATCATCAGAACAGCGCTATCATCAGATCTTCAGAACAGCGTTATTATCAGATCATCAGAACAGCGCTATCATCAGATCATCGGAACAGCGCTATCATCAGACCTTCAGAACAGCGCTATCGTCAGGTCATCGGAACAGCGCTATCATCAGATCATCAGAACAGCGCCATCACAGTGCGGCGCCGATGGGCACGAGAACGCGATCGATGCTGCAGTGCAGCGGCGCTCGACACTGGGGCAGAGTCACTGCACATCACTGGTCATTACTAGGACCCGCGCAATGCTGCACTCCTACCGAGGCTACCGGACCCTGCTGAGGCTCCTGCCAAGGCTACTGGACCCTGCTGGGGCTCCTACCGAGGCCACAGGACCCTGTTGGGACTCCTACCGTGGTGCTGGATGCTGGACTTACCGTGGTGCTGCATGCCGGACTCGGTGAGACCGCCGTATTGGCCGGCAGGGTAGGAGACGGGGAACGCCAGAGAGCCGAACGAGCCGGCTTGCTGGTTCCCCATCTGCTTTCTCCATCGCGCTCGTCGGTTGCTGAACCACACCTGCGGCAGAGTCGAGGCGGGCTCTGAATCATGAATCTTACAGATTCAAAACCGACCCTGGCTCAAATGTATCACCGGTTAAAAACGACGGGGTCTAAACACTTTTGGCAGGTCAAACAAAAAACTTTTGGCCTCGTTGCTGCAAAGTCAAAGTGGGTTCCGAGCCCCCCCCCCCCCCCCCCTCCCACCAACACCACCAACACACACACCGAAGTTAGCCGGCAACAATGAAGTCTCACGGCACACAATTCCGACCAGCATACCGTTCATGGGTTGAAAACTATGATTTTCCGAGAGCTTTAGATCAGATTTGATTTGATTTGATTTGATTTCGTCAAAGTTCGATGAGTTTGACAGATCTTCCATCATGTCGTATTGAGACGAACCATCCTCCCACGTTACATAGGTCCAAGATTTCGTGTTGTGCGTACGACGTGAATCTTCCGACTTTCGAGCTGCTTCAAGCGGTATAGATGGCACAGAGGGTACGCGCGGAGCCCATAATGGGGGCCGTTTCGCTCGTTCGAGCCCCGCCGGCCCAAAGCCGTGCTATTAGTGTCTATGGAAGTCAAAAAGATGTTCTCCTGATTAACAAATTATGTATAATGATGAATGGAAATGATAAAAATGTTGGTAGATTATCTATGTCACCTATCTTCACTATATTCATTTTCCTGAAAGTGACCTACAGAACTCAGCTGACAACATTCAACTAAACCCGAAATAGATTTACTACCAAGGTGTCTGCGTCTCGTTGTTGCACTTTCAGTCTATCAGATGCGTGATGGAAGCTGAAATCCTACCGTGCAATTGTAACTGTAGCTG